CAGTAATAGGCCTTGGGTTACTGCTGGTAATCCTGTCTTCCTCTTGTGGGATTAGAGGAGGTCAGAACATGTGGTCTCCTTGCCATTTTTGTAGTGTCCAATACAGTACTTTTTCTGAAGTACTTTTTTTCCTTAAACTTTGCTTAAGTTAATAAAAGGATTGGCTATCAAATTTCATACTCATGGAGCTATTGGTAATCATGTTCCTGCCTTGTCATTGATGATTGCCTCATCTAGGCTTAAAATTTCATTGACATGTTTAGTTATGTTAACTTGAATTTGACCTGTGGTATGGTGGGGAAAGTAACTTCATGAGACTGGGATTTGAATGCTTGTAATAGATGTATGTTGAACAGTTTTTAAGAGGTACACAAGCTAATCCTCACTGCTATCTCATCACTTTCATGGGACCCCACTATTAAGAGTTACTGACTCCACAGTTACTTCCATCCACAGTTAAGAAATTTCTGGAGAATCATTATGATTTATGGACAGTTTTAAGATAAGAGACAGTTTCTGTAATCCAAATGAGCAATCATGAGATATATAACTGAGGAAATGACAATGGAAATAAAAAGAAGAGATGAGCGTGTAAGGGACTTTACAGAACATGATAACTGAATGAATTTTGAGAAAGAAAAGACAGGAATAAACATGAATTCCTGAGCTCCTATGCTGATTAAATTCAAGTTATAACCTTAAATACACATCAACAGACCTACTTTCCAAGATAATGCCAGTTAATACTTCCTGTCATAAACAGGCAGTATTAGCAGTGATGAGTTGGACATTTTAATCTTGGGCATGATGATGTTTGTTAATTTGTTATGTGTTTACTGTGTTTGTGCTTAATTTGTATGTGTTTATTATTTTATTTTTTATTTTAAATACATTTTATTAAAATATAATTTATGTGCAGTGAAAATTTTTTGTATGTGTTTTATGAGCATTATTCATCCCTCCATGCCTGAGAAGGAAAAAACAGTAAGAGTTGAAATTGCTGGTAAGAAGATGTAACACACAAGTAAATTTTGCTGAAGGTAATTTAAAAATAGTTGAAGCAATACATTGACAGACAACTGCCAGAAATGCAAGCTGGAATCAGAAGAGGATGTGCAACAAGGACTATCGTTGCTGATGTCAGATGAAGTTACATTTGTAAACCAATGAATGAAACCCTGCCCAATTCTGCAACATCCTCACAATCCTTGCTGTACTTGAGACCATCACTGCAGCCACTGTGTTAATCCATGTTGTTGAGGTTCTTCCTCTTTTTTCATTGACCCTCTACTTTACTAAGCATGATATCCTTTTCCAGAGAATGGTCCCTTCTGTATAGCATGACCAGTGTAGATAAGACAAAGTCTGACCATTCTCACTTCTAAGGAACATTCTGGCAACACTTTTTCCAGGACAGATTTGTTTATTCTTCTGGCAGTCCATGGTACTTTCAGTATTCTTTGCCAAAACCTTAATTGAAAGGCATCAACTCATTTAAACCAACTAATTTTAGATCTTCCATTTTCCACCATTCACATGCATATGAGGCGATTGAAAATACCATGGCTTGGGATAGCCACACCTTAGTCTTCAAAGTGTCATCTTTGCTTTGTAACACTTTAAAGAGGTCTTTTGCAGAAGACTTTCCCAGGGCAATATGACATCTTTTTTCTTGACTGCTGTGCCCATGGGTATTGATTTTGGATCCAAGTAAAATGAAATCTTTGACAACTTCAATCTTTTCTCTATTTATCATGATGTTACTTATTGATCTCGTTGTATGGATTTTCATTTTTTTTTTTTTATGTTGAGATGTAATCCATACTGAAGACAGTAGTCGTTGATGTCATCAGTAAGTGCTTAGTGCTTCAAGTTCTGTTGTTGTTCAACAAGAGAGGTTTTGCCATCTGCATGTAACAGGTTGTTAATGAATCTTCCTCCAATCTTGATGCCACGTTGTTCTACATATAGTCCCACTTCTTGGATTATTTGCTTAGCATACAAATTGAATAAGTATGATGAAAGGATACAACCCTGATGCACACCTCTCCTGATTTTAAACCATGGAGTATCCCCCTGCTCTGTTTGAACAACAACCTCTTGGTCTATATTACAGTTTCGGTATAAGCACAGTGAAGTGTTCTAGAATTCCCATTCTTTACAATGTTATCTGTGATTTGTTATAAGCCATATAGTTAAATGCCTTTGCATAGTCAATAAAACACAGATAAACATCTTTCTGGTATACTTTGCTTTCAGCCAAGATCCATCTGACATCAGCAATGATATCCCTCGTTTCACATCCTGTTCTGAATCCAGCTTGAATTTCTGGAAATTCTCTGTCAATATATTGCTGCAACCATTTTTGAATTATTTTCAGCAAAATTTAACTTGTATGTGACAGTAATGATATGGTTTTGATAATTTCTGCATTCTGTGGGGTCACCATTGTTTGGAATGGGCACAAATACCAATCTCTTCCAATCAGTTTGGCCAGGTAGCTGTTTTCCAAATTTCTTAGCATAAATAGGTAAGGTCTCCAGCACTGCACCTGTTTGCTAAAACATCTCAATGGGTTATATGTCAATTCTTGGCATCTTGTCTTTACCAATTCCTTGAGTTCAACTCTCAGTTCTTCTTACAGTGCCATTGTTTCTTGATCATATGCTACCTCCTGAAATAGTTGTGTGTCGATCAATTATTTTTGGTGTAATGAGTCTATGTATTCCTTACAACTTCTTTTGATGCTTCCTGCATCATTCAATATTTTGAATTGAAGTAAAACAATGTCTGCTATATTGAAGTTGCAGTAGGTTAGGACAAATGTGAGTTAGTACTTAAAATTAAAAATTATTAGAAATGGGAGGTTTCTACTGAAAAGTAAAAGAGAATGTTTAAAGACAAGTCCTTATTGTACCTATTTAAATATGTTCCTCTTTCCATAGTAGTACAGGAAAAGCATGTAAATTAGTGCACAAGTTATTTAACATGAACAGACAGACTCATAATGGTACATGTTGAGTTTATGTGTCCCAGAATATTTCTTTTAGAGATTAAATACCTAGTAGAATACAAAAATACATTTTTTTTCAGTCTGACAAAATGTATAATTTTCTTATTTTTGCCCTATAGATACCATTTATTCCTACATTATGTGGATTTTTTATTCATATCTAATATGGATTTTCCTTTATATGTATTACTATACTTAATAATGACTTGTCCATTTTAAATGAATAGCCAAATGTGGAAAGAGATTTAATTTTGAAAAATTTTATTCATGCCATTTAAAATCATTACAAATTACTTATTAGCTTACTATGATACATATTTCTTTTAAAATAATATAATTTTTACTTCCTCTAGGCTGGAATGATAAAGAGTGACAATGATGAGTATTTCATTGAGCCTTTGGAAAGAGGCAAGCAGATGGAGGAAGAAAAAGGAAGGATTCATGTTGTCTACAAGAGGTCAGCTGTAGAACCAGCTCCCATAGACATGTCCAAAGACTTTCACTACAGAGGTAGGCATCTTTAACAAGGCTCAATAATTGAATGTAATGTTAAGGTATTATGTAAACAACTCTCCCATCAATTAATAGAAAGTGATTGTCATATGCTTTTGCCTAAAACAGAGGTACCAATAGAAGTCTACGTTTATAAATCATGAAATATAGTTTACTTCTTTTCTTAATGCATGTGTATATATTAAAGTATTTCTTTACTCTAGTGCAATATTGTACCTCTGATATGTTAATTATTACTAGTTTTTTTAAAGTTTTATATGAAACCTATATTTTGTGTGGCTTATCTTAACATTTGTGTGCCTAACCCAAGCCATAGTTTTTCAATCACATCATATGCATGTGACAGCTGGACAGTGAATAAGGAAGACTGAACAAGAGTTGATGCTTTTGAGTTGTGGTGTTGGTGAAGAATACTGGAAGTACCATTGACCGCTAAGAGAACTAAAAATCTGTCCTGGAAGACATGCAGCTGGAATGTTCCTTGGAAGCACTGGCCAGACTTCATCTTACCTACTTTGGTTATACTGTCAGAAGGGACCATTTCCTGGAGAAGGATATCATGCTTGGTACAACAAAGGGGAGGGCCCTCAATGAGATGGATAGATACAGTGGCTGCAACGATGGGCTCAGGTATATCAAGGATTGTGAAGCTGGCATGGGATCAGGCAGTGTTTTGTTCTGTTGTACATAGTGTTGCTATGAGTCAGAGCTGACTCAATGGCATGTAACATCATCATCATCTTAAAATTTGTGTTTTCTAGGAGCATCTCAATTATGCATTATTAATCTTATTTTAAAACTTTTAAAAAATATGTATTGACATGGCAAAAAATTACCTTTTGTTGTAAGACTGATGTGAGATATATTGGAGAATAATTCTACTATTTGACTTTAAGGTCTATTTTAGATGTCTATTTGGCATCTTGTCTTTACCAATTACAGTGCCATTGTTTCTTGATTTTACAAAACTTCTTATATGTGGAGGAGACAATGAATCAAATGCTCCATAGCTACTTTTTTCAAAGTTGGTTAGAACCCTAAAATCAAGAAAGCCTGAAGGTTTTCTATTTTTGATTGTTTGTTTTAAAGTGATCTGAAAGTAAGTTGGTAATAAGGAGTTATTCTTAAAAGTTAGGTATAGGTATTTTCTTTATAGAGAAGAAAGGAAATTTGGAAATCTGATTTTGGCCAAATCCCAAAAAGTTTATATTTACTTTTATCAAGCCAACTTTCTGAGTTAAGAATAAAGGAAATTTCTAGACATGTAAGAACATTCTTATATGTCTCCTGATGTATCACTACTTGTAAGAATTCATTGAACTAAATAAAACATTTGTTTATGTAAAATTAACAATATCTTTGATTTTCATAAATGTACTGATAGCATAAGTAGCTCTGGTCATGTAGTGGATAAGGCACTTGACTGCTAACTGGAAGATCAGTGGTTCAAACCCACCAGCTGCTCTGGAGAAGGAAGACTGGGCCATCTACTTCCATAAAGATTTACAGCCCCCAAAATCCAGTGGAGGTCATTTGGTTTTGGTTTTGGTATTGAAAACATGCATAAATATTATACACACATTTACTACCTCCAGGCAATCAAGGTAGTATCTTGCCTTTAAATGTCAGAGGTAGATATATATATAATCTGAATTTAGCTTTTATCTGTCTTCTAGATTATTGATGTCTTGCATTTTGAGAACTGTTACTTAGTTATTAGTTTTATTTTTAGATGCCACCAACTTTGCTTAACATACTGTACTAATGTTATATTTTGTTTTGAGAATTTTCTTCATAATTACCTGATTTAAGACAACAGAGCTGTGTTAATAAGTACAGTAATATGAGATGTGTGCCTATCCTAGAGAGTAACCATAGTGTAACAAGAAGTGAATGCGCAGTGGAGTTAGGTAGTGGGTATGAGTACTACCTCTACCATGAACCGGTTCTGTTACCTTGGATAAGTATTTAACCTTTCCGAAAGCAAATTTCTTTGTATATAGAGAATTAAAATACATTGCACACTTTTAATAAGTGTTAGAAATAATATATGTAATTTCTGAGGGTAGTCCTCAACAATAACATGCACTTAAGGAATGGTACTACTACTGTGACTCACTGCCATAGAGTTGATTTGACTCATAGCGACCCCTCCTTGGGTTTCTGAGGTGGTATCTCTATATAAGTGGATTTCCCAACCTTCTTTCCGAGGAGTGGCTGGTGGGTTTGAACTGCCAGCCTTCTGGTTAATAGTGAGATGATACCTTAGGCACTAAGCCACGAGAGCTCCCTAATGGTAGTTGGTACTATTTTAAGTGAGTATTGTTAATTATCTTGTTTAAAAAAAAAAAAAAAAAAAAGATTTGCATGTAAGGAGTTTTATTAAATTTGAACAGTTAGATATTACTTGCCTTTTTGTTGTGAATACCTGACTCTTAATTCTTATTTATGCTTTCATATTTTCAAAAATACCATTTTTAGTCAGAAGACTGGTTATGTCAAAAGAGTGACTGTACCATATAGTCATCTTCTGTAGACTTGATTTTTTTCTATAATATTGATATATAATAACTAATATTATATCTTTGGAGGAAAATAATAAATGTCTTATTGAAAAATACACTGCACAAATTATGAAATTGTATAGATGAACTGGAAACCAGGTCAGTCGCTATGGCTGTCCTCCCAGTTTGTGCCATCTGCCTTACCTATGGTTTCACCCAGCTGTACCTGATTGTTCCATTTCAATTCCTAAAGGTTTCTATTTCTGTAAATATCACCCATGCTACTTTTAATTACCTTGATATTTACAGGGAAGAAGAGATTTTTTTTTTGAAGCATGAAAATGTTGAGAAATATTACGTTTCATTTATAGTGTAGTTTTAGATAGTAGATACTTAATTGAGTAATTGTTGTTGTTATGTGCCATTGAGTCGGCCCTGACTCATAGCGATTTAAAAGAATTGAGTTGGGCTGTGTAACTTGGAATATTATTATAGGAAATTATTTAAAATATCAATTCTAGTAGCACCAATCAGCTACTCATTTTAAAATAAGAGGTGTGTTTACTGGTTGTTTTTTAAGAATACAGACCCTGGATGCTTTTTGAGCTTTTCAATTGTGAATAAAAGATCACCTTATAGTAGAGATGGGCCACAAACTAGAGTAATACGTTTTAGGAAAGTTTTCATTGGTCATGTGTCAAAGCAAAAAGGGTTCCATTGTTAACTCTCAATGACCTTAAAGCTTGAACCAAAATAGAAACACATTTAGTGCCCTTAGACTATTCAGTGATAAACTAAGAATGTGCTTAATGATTTTTATTGTCATATTTCTGAAGTTCTGGCTGAACTTAGTTACTGATGATAGTAATATACTTCTTTTTGAGAATCGTAAATTCTAACCATATATTTCAGATGTATTATTCTCTTCCTTAGAGTAAGGAGAGAATCTGTTTCAGAACTTTAAGTACCATATTATAGCTTTTAAATTCTTTAACTTCTTGGTCACAGGATGAGAGCCAAGTTTGTCATAGATTAAATATTTTTGAAGTGAAGATTAATAATATATTTTCATAATTTATTCAGCCATTCCAAAATTTAAAATTGAGCAGGTTCTAGGATTAGAATGGTATATTGATTTGTAAGTGAAAACTATAGTACCATGTAAGATAGTGTTTCTTCTGGATCAATTCAGGATGTCATTTTTAGGAGATACATGAAGATTGTCTTTAATTATTTATAGGAAGAGGAATAAAAAAAACATAGGGTAAGATTTAATTGAAAAGAAATGCATGTGAGAACAGTGGTCTTCATACATTTCCTTACGGTGGGTAAAGCACTTGACTGCTAACCAGAAGGCGGGCGGTTCAAACCCACCAGCCACTCCTTGGAAGGAAGGTTGGGCAATCCTACTTCCGTAGTGATACTGCCTCGGAAACCCAAGGAGGGGTTGCTATGAGTCGGGGCCGGCTCGATGGCACATAACAACATGACAACAACAAAGTCATCAGTAGAAATTTTGATCATCAGCAAGCTACATCTGATCCTATATAGTTTAATTTTGTCCTCATGAAAGAATTTTGGTTTCACTTTTTATTGATTTAGAAAAGAGATTAAAATACATAGAGAGATTTATTAATTTAACATAAGTTTGACTTCAGATAGTTAAACTGGGCTTCTATTTGGCTTAATAAAATTATATTAAAGCTATACCCACTCCTTGGAAGGAGCATTGGGCAATCTACTTCAGTAGTGATACTGCCTTGGAAACACAAGGAGAGGTTGCTGTGAGTCAGGTCTGACTTGATGGCACATAACAACAACAATAACATGTTCAACTGTAGCTAAATAATAAGCTGAAGTGATATTAAAAAAAAAAAAAAAAACTTAAAAGCATGTAACATATTGGCACTTTGACATTTTCTGAAATAGCAAATGTCATCCCAGAAAACATTGTTAGAAAAATTATTTCTTTCCAGTGTTGCTGTACATACAATCTTGCTTTTTTCTGTAGATAAAAGATGGTAGCACTTAATAGTGGGAAAAAAAAAAGTGAAAACTCTCTCGTTAGCTTATTAGAACCTCATAGATTTAGAATATACCAATATTTGAAAACTTTCTTCTCATTCAGACTATCTAGTTGTGTTAGTTGATATTTAAGGTAGAACATTCTGCAAAGATCACCATCTCTTTAGAGCCTTTCCTGAATCTCTGAGGGTGGATTAAATGTTGAATTTCCAGCTCCCATAGGATCCTGAGTGCACTCCTTTCACAGCATTTATCAAGGAGAAGTTGAAAATCTTTGAGCGAGTTTAACCTATACAGGTTAATCTATAAAGTAAGATCCTGAAGTATAATCCCTGAGAAAACTTCAAGAGTTAATGTGCAGACCAGAGATAGAAAATTTAGGAAGATGGACATCTTTTATATTGTTACAGAGAAGGAGAAAAAGATTGGTATGAAGCAGATAAATTTGTAGATTAGGCAAGGAGTTGA